GAGAGGGAGACACAGAATCTCAAGCAAGCAAGCTCCAGGCTCTGAGCTAGGAGTATAGAGCCTGATGAGAGACTCAAACTCACCAACCATGAGATCATGACCTGAGCTGAAGTTGGACACTTAACCGGCTGAGCCACCCAGGCGCCCCTGATTGCGTAATTTTTGTAAAAAAATGAGACAAACAGAAGAAAAAATACGCCTTCCCCACCAGGAACAATCTCTGACCTGGGAGCTTCCTCCACAGAGCGAAAAGCCCCCAGGGAGAGAATGGTATGTGTGGCAACATTGTTTTTATGGGCCAAACCCCAAGCCATCATAGACAACAAGGAAATAGAGGGCTAACCTTTAAAAAAAGAATAAAAAAGAGGGGGAGTATGTAATACACCTTTAAGTGAGAAAAACAGTATGTAGGGAAGTAGATACACTATGTCCCATTTTTGGAAGATAAATCATTAATGCCCCCACTTCCTACATATTTATGTAGGATAACATAACATGGAAACACAAATGGAGACTCCCCAGTTTGTTACCAGGGATTTGGGGTGACATGGTGGAGAGGGAAGGACAGAAAGTGTCCCCATCCCCAAAAAGATTTCATTTGTCAAACAGCCTCCCTGAAGAAAAACAACAATTATATGTTCCCACTGATGGAAAATTATGTGTGTTTTTATGCATAAAGAGGTGCCCCCAAAATCCATCAGTGGTTAACAGTGCTAACCCAGAAGGGTGTGATTTCAAATGATTTTTAAGTTCTGTCCTATACTTTTAGGGCTTGTCCAAATTTTTAGTTTTATAATCAGAAACAATCACAGAGTTGGTTTTGTGGTGGGGGGAAAAAAACCTTTAATTAAAAATACACTGAACAACATAAGAAGACACACAGGGCACTTGAGTGGTTCAGTCGGTTAGGCATCTGACTTTTGCTCAGGTCATGATCTTGTGGTTCATAAGCTCAAGCCCCACTTCGGGGTCTCTGCTGTCAGCACAGAATCCACTTCAGAACCTCTATCCCCTCTCTCTCTGCTACTCCCCCTTTCATTCTCTCTCTCTCTCAGTTATTTATTTTTGAATAATACAAAAAAAAAAAACATAAGAAGATACTGATGCCAAGGCCCCCACTCCAGGCCGACTGAGAATCACTGAGTATAGAATCTCTTTTTTTTTTTCTTTAAAAAGTTCCCTCAGGTGACTCTAATGGGCACTCAGGGTAGAGAACCACAGAATTTCTTTTTTTTTTTTTAATATTTTTTAACATTTATTTATTTTTGAGAGACAGAGAGAGAGCGTGAGCAGGGGAGGGGCAGAGAGAGAGGGAGACACAGAATCTGAAGCAGGCTCCAGGCTCTGAGCTGTCAGCACAGAGCCCGATGCGGGGCTCATACTCACAAACTGTGAGATCATGACCTGAGCGGAAGTCAGATGCTTAACCAAGACACCCAGGTGCCCCTGAACCACAGAATTTCTCAGAAAAGTCCATTAAATATACCCTTAACCCCTTGCAATTTTCCAGCACCACCAGGGCTGATTTCCCCACTGTCCTCTGAGTCCCGTCTTCTCTTGGGTTCTACACACTCTCCTTATTTATCCATTCTGCAAGGTCCAACTCAGACACCTAGACTCCAGGTAGCCCTTCCCTATCTGCCCCCGGATACAAGCCCTTCTTTCTCTGCTTGCCCTGAGCACCGTGTGTCAGTCTGACGGGCAGCCCCGCTCTAGCTGCTTGCAGTTGGGCACATATTCATGTCCTGCCCAAACACTAATCCAGCGTTTGCCAGGCTTATCCCGTTCCTCCTGCTATGTGATAAACTTCCAGGTCAGAAAGGAGGTCTGACTTTTCCTTCCTACTCTCAGCAGCCTCTAACACAGTCTCTTGCACCTAAGAGATGCTACAATTTTGCCAAACTGTCTTTCAGTATACTACGACTTTTCACTTCCAGCCTGTGTCTGGTCTCTTAGCCTCTTCTAAATTGCTGTGTGATTAGTAATTGGAAAACCAAGTTTTGTTCAACATTTTTTTTTTCTGGAAACTCTGTACATGAAGGAATAGAAGGCAGTGAAGGGGGCCATTGGGCCCAAAAAAAAAAGAGAACCAGACACTGCCTTCGGGCTGATCCCAGCTTGGAGGAACAGAGAAGACAGGTATATAAAATGTCTCCGACCCCAAAAATGAGAAGGATAAATATCTATGAGATGTACATATAGGACATTCTGGAAGATGATCTTCCCTGGGGCTTCAGGGACTGTTTCTTGAAGAAAATGATCTTTGAATGGGGCTTTAAACGAGCGATACCATTTGAAGAACAGGGAAGTGAGGGATGAGGAATTTGAGGGGTGGGGAGACAGCGTTGTTAGAGGTCAGAAAGCAGGGCAATGCCAGGCAGGCTTTGCAGTGTTACCGGGAGCGTGAGCTGCCTTAGGGAGCAGGCAGGGCGATGGTGAATCGCAGGGGACCTTGAAAACCAGAAACGGCTGTGAGCCTGGGGTCCCGTAACTTAGGGTTATTACACAATGCAATGACAAATCAGAAAACTCATAAAGGGGTGTTAAGAAAGGGCAACAGGTTTGGGGTGAGTCCCTGAGGAGCTCTCCTGCTGGGTAAGGCCAGGACTTCTACCGTCACATCCATTGTGAGACACGCGGCCACTCTTCCACTTACATCCTCCTGGTTTCTAAGGGACGACACTGCTTGGGAACCAAGTTACAAATAGGTGACACTGACTATGGCTTCTCAAGAGTCTGTTTCTTTTGCTTTGTGCCACACAGAGGTATTTGTCACTGAGAAGTCCTTTTAAAAAGTCCAAAGATGGGGGTGCTTGGGTGGCTCCATCAGTTAAGCATCCAACTTTGGCTCAGGTGATGATCTCGTGGTTCGTGGATTCGAGCCCTGTGTCGGGCTCTGTGCTGACAGC